TCTGAGATGAATACACACTTCTCAGATGAAGAAATGCAAATGGCAAATAAATACATGAAAAAATGTTCATCATCATTGGTCATTAGAGAAATGCAAATTAAAACCACACTGAGATACCATCTCACTCCTGAAAGAATGGCCAGAATCAAGAAAACCAACAACAACAAATGCTGGAGAGGCTGTGGGGAAAAAGGAACTCTCTTACATTGTTGGTGGGAGTGTAGACTGGTGCAGCCTTTGTGGAGGTCAGACTGGAGATTTCTCAAAAAGCTGGGATTGGAAGTCCCATTTATTCCAGCTATTCCACTCCTAGGCATATTCCCAGAAGAACTGAAAGCATCATACCACAGTGATATATGTGCACCTATGTTTATAGCAGCACAATTTGTAATCGCCAGATCTTGGAAACAACCCAAGTGTCCATCAACTGAGGAATGGATAAAAAGGTTGTGGTATTTCTATACAATGGAGTATTATTCAGCTATAAAGAAGGATCACATTGAGATATTTATCAATAAATGGGCGCAGCTTGAGACCACACTCATAAGTGAAATAAATCAATCTCGCATGTGTGAATACCGAATAGTTTCCCTAATGTAAGTAATGATTCAAATATATAAAAATATGTGGTAATCATGATTCCCCATTATGTGGCCTTGAAGCCTTATAAAGTTTTCACTTATTAATTGGAAAGGCTTTATTCTGGGCTTCTTGATATGGAAATATTTGAAGCTATAGTATATGAAGTTTTATTCAAATATTTCAAGGAAAAAGACAGATACTATGGTAACTACTCTTAAGTCGGGTTATTTGGTGGTGAAGCACTAGGTTGCTGAAACAGTCATGCTTTGACCTGTATTGTTATATTGATATGTCCTGTTTTATCTCAATCTCTCCCTTACTCTTTAAAAAAATTATTTAGTTATTTCTTATGTTTGTTTTAATTAAGGGGAAAAATTTAAAAAATTAGCTCCTTTGATAAAGGAGCCTTCTTGGCTCCTTTATCAAAGATAAGGTGGTTGAGTGTGTTTGTAGTTGTGGTTGTATCTTCTAATCTATTCCATTGATCTTCGGCTCTGTTTTGATTCCAATACCATGTTGATTTTACTACTGTTGCTCTGTAGTATAACTTCAAGTCAGGGATTGTGATGCCTCCTGCTTTATATGTTTTAGACAAGAGTCCCTTGTCTGAGAGAGAGTTCACTAAAATCTTTTCCCAGTTTGTGGGCTTTCTTTTCACTATGCTGGAGATTTCTTGTTTTGATTTCCTATTAACTTGTTTTGAAGTCCTGTAATACTCCCACGATCTTGTTTTGACTTATTAGACTCTGTTTCATTCTGTATGATAGTATCAAGTTTGAGGTATAGGCAACTACTTTGAAGGCAATAAGATTTACTAGGATGCCCATCCTGGTTTGACTATTGTCTCCTTTGGAAGTCCTGTAATGTTTACAATGCTTAAGTTTTATTGGTCTTGTTCTCTACTGTTTTGTTCAACTTTAAAATATCTGATGAGATAGACAATTCTTTTTAAGGAAACAAGAGACATTGTTGATAACCATCGTTGATAACCTTGTACTCTGTTTTACATCATGTGCTATGTCTATCCTTGGTTTTGACTGACAGCTTTGTTTTGCCATATTTGACTTTATTCTCTCCCCCCCCCAAAAGTAATAAGAACTAAGGAGTAATAAAACCCAAAATGTGTAAATTTTGTTGTAAAAAAGAGAGGGAAAAAAAGAGCTCTAAAGGATACAACAGCAAGTGTGTTTAGGGGTGTTAAATAGCTGACCATATTAATGTTTTTGGATGGATCATTGAACACAACTGTTTGCAGTCTCACTGTTTGAATGTCCACTTTGTATGCTTTGATACTGTGATTTGAGCAACTATCTCTAAGATCATAATATGTAATCTATTAACTGGTGATTTCTTACTGTTTTTGTTTTGTAGTTCTGTATTACTTGTACCCTTACACTGCTTTGTTTTGTCTTGTGTTTTTCTCTTTCCTTTTAAATAAAATTTTAAAAAAATGATAGACAGAGTTTTGTGCAGGCCAGAATGCATTCTATTTTAAAAATATTCTCTAGTTCAGATACTTCAGATGTAAGAACACAATTATGAGTTCAGAGTTACTGAAGGTGTTACATGAAAGTCCCAGACGGTGACAGGAAAGCCACTCATAATGTACATTGTATCTGTTCTTCAAGTTACAGCATGAGCTCAATTATTTTGTATGCACACTGCTGGTCCTGAGCACTTCTGCAGAGAGGTTTGTATGTGGGCTCACACTAATGTCTCCTCATTATGTCCCTTGCACAGTAATACAGGGCTACCGAAGCCAGATCCCTGTGTACCACAGAGAACCCTTCTGACATGCAATATAGAGTGTGCCTTCTCTAGCTGCAGAGCTACTGTAAAGGGTGCCCAAAAAACCTGAGTCAATGCAGATGCTCAGCTGGGAAACTTTACAGCAATGGGTTTGACTGGATCCTGGAGACAAGGGTCAATGGACATCACTTAATTACCAAAAGCAAAGTGCACGCACCTGCCACAATAGACAGAAGAAGCAGAACAAAGATCAGAATGGCCCGACACCTGCAGACCTGTGGTGTTTGCTCATTATCATGGTCTTCCCGAAAGTGAAATAGATGAGAAACTTACAAAATTTTTAATTTATTAAAAAATATGTACCAGCAAATGAACAGAAATTTATTTCAAATCACAGTAACAGGGAACAAAGGGTCCTTAACCAGTTATCAGATTTGAGCCAATATACAGACCCAGGATGCCTTGAGTAAAGGAGATCAGTTGTCTTTTAGGGAAAACCTTGGTGCAGCACCAAAAATTTCTATGGTCAATCTTTCTCTTATCCTTCTCCCAAAAGACCCAAGGCCTTTTAACAACATAACTGTACACTGAGGGAGAGAAGATGCTCAGACATTTCAAGAATCACAAGACGCTGATGCTGAACTCGTAAGGGTTCTGGAAGATCTAGAGTGGCTCTCCTGTAAGGGTAGAGAACTATAGATTTCATGTGATTAATGGATTTTAGCAAAAGTTGAACTCAGTAGTAGTTCAGTGGATCTGCGAATCCATTGTTCTTATTTCTCATTTCTGAGTGGGCAATTGAGATGGATATACTTAGCATTTGGCACAACACTCACATTGGTTCACGCTATAGTGTGAACGATAGTATAATCAAAAAGAGCAAGTGGACGCCATTAGACTTGTCTTTGCTGGGCAAAATAGCAAATGAAAAACAATACTGCTTTCCTGGAGGAGTTGCAGATTATTGCGATCAAGCGCCTGAAGGATGGAGGGATGGATAGCCCCACTAATTCTTTGGGCTTGTGCAGAAGATGGATGGAAATCTGCGAATGATGGTACATTACCTCAAACTGAATCAAGTTGTGTATCCAATTCCAAGTACTGTGACCAGATGTGGTGTTCTTGGTTGAGAAGAATTTTTTTTTTTTTTTGATACCTAGACTCAAACTCAGTATCTTGCTCTTACCAGGCAGGCGCTTGTGCTGCTGAGCTATATCCGTAGCCCTGGTTGAGAAGATTAATCCATCTCCTGGCACTTGGCATGCAGCTGTTGATCTGGCAAATACCACCGTTCTCCTTACCCAGCCACAAGGCCCATCAGAAGCAATCTGCTTTCAGTAGGTGAGGCCAGCAATACACCATCCCTGCCTATATCAAAGTTACATTAACTTTGCAGCCCCAGGTCACAACTTGGCACGCAACACTGTGATTGCCCTTCCCTTCCACAGGCAGCACACTGGCGCATTACAATATTTCAGTGATTTGACCAAGTGAAGAGGAGGTAGTAACCAATCTGCATTTTTACAGAATTTGACTGCCAGAGAATGGGAAATAAACCACACTAAAATCTCAGGTTCTTCTACCTCAGTGACATTTCTAGGAGTCCAGAGGTGTGAAGCATGTAGAGATATCCCTCCAAGGTAAAAGGTAAGTTCTTCATCTGGTTTCCCCGAGAAAGGAAAAGAGCCAAAATACCTAGTGGGCTTATTGGGTATGGAAGGCAACACATTCCTCGGTTAGGTGTTTAACTGCAGCCTGTTTATTAAGTGACTCAGAAAGCTGATAGTTTTGAGTGTGGCTTGAACAAGAGGCTCAGCAAAAGGTTCAGGATGCGAGGCTGCTTTACCACTGTTGTTATACAATCCCTCTGACACCAGAGCACTGGAAAGGCCAGGGTCAGTAGGATGCAGTTTGTAGGCGCTGGCAGGTCCTCACATGTAAACTGCTAGAGACCTTTACGAGTGTAGAGCACAACACCACCATCATCTGCAGACAACTATGCTCCCTTTGAAAAGCAACCCTTGGCCTGCTACTGGGCCCTAGTGGAAACCAAAGGCTTGATTATGGGATATCAGGTTGCCACAGGACCGGAGCTGCTTATCATGAGCAGGGCATTGTGTGAGCCACAGCAAGGCTGTCATTACATGGAGATGGTGAACGTGTGATTCAGACAGAGCGGATCCATGAATGAGCTCCTCAGATACGACTCCTCCTGCTAAGTCACCTGTTTCCCAACATATGCCTGTGGCCTCATATATGATATGATCACCTGTTAGAGAAGGAAAGACTAACCACTCTTTACAGGTGGTTAAGCATTTTCTGCAAGCACCACCTGCAAGTGGACAGCTGCAGCACTACAACCCCTTGTCAGGAAGGCTTGGTGGGATATAGTGGTGAAAGGAAATCTTCACAATGGGCAGAACTTTGGGCAGTGCACTTGGTAGTAATTTTGCCTGGGAGGAAAAAATGACCAGATATGTGATTGTATACTAACTCAAGGGCTGCAGGCAGTGGTCTTCTTGGGTGTTTAAGAGCTTAGATGGATATAACTGGAAACCTGGTGACAAAGATATGTGGGGATGAGGTTTGTGGATAGATCTGTGTAAATGGGCAAAGGATGCGCACAAAACAAAATCAAAACTACATAAATACTACTTGGAAATGAGAAATACATTTCGATTCACCTTGTTTTATTAGAAGATACCATGTATTAGTTTCAAAGACAATGACTTACACAAAAATATGTCAACATTTTTTATGATAAAGACACAGATACACAGTTCAGATATTTGTAAGTGATTTACTGAGAAACACTGAAGGGATACATTCCAGGATATCTCCATCTAAAAGTGTATTTCCTGGAAAGTTTATAAAGAAATATTGCCATCAAATGTCTTATTTAATGTGTATAGGTTTCCACTACATAAAGAATTCTCACAGGATTTCCAAAATAGGCTTAGATATATAGGGTGACTTTAGAGTGTGACTTCTTACAGGTAGTTCATTAAAATGGTGATCACTGAATGCTTTCCCTACATTGTTTATGTCCATCGAGCTCCTCTCCACCATGAGATCTGTGTCTGTAAAAGGAGGACTCACTAGCAAATCTTTTTCCACATGGCTTACATGCATAGGGCTTCTCATCTGTATGGGTTCTTTCATGTCTTTTAAAGTACTTGTGTGTAGTGAATGACTTCCCACATTGCTTGCACACATAAGGTTTCTCTGTAGTGTGAATTCTTTCATGTGTCTGACAATATTTGTGTGTAACAAATGCTTTCCCACATTGCTTGCACACATAAGGTTTCTCCCCTGTGTGGCTTTTTTCATGTATGTTGTAAGAACTTTTTGTAGCAAATGCTTTTCCACATTGCTTGCACACATAAGGTTTCTCCCCAGTGTGGTTTCTTTCATGTATCTGACAATATTTGTGTGTAGTGAATGCCTTCCCACATTGCTTACACACATATGGTTTTTTTCCTCTGTGACTTTCTTCATGTATGTTATAAGAATTCTTTCTACCAAATGCTTTCCCACATTGGTTACACACATAAGGTTTCTCACCAGTGTGAGTTTGTCTATGTCTACGAAATGCAGATCTATCACCAAATCTTTTTCCACACTGCTTACAATTATAGGGTTTCTCACTAGTATGAGTTTTTTCATGTTCTTGACAATATCTGTGTGCAATGAATGCTTTTCCACATTGCTTACATACATAGGGTTTCTCTCCTGTATGATTCCTTTCATGTATTTTATACCAACTCTGTGAAGTGAATACTTTTCCACATTGCTTGCATACAAAAGTTTTCTTCCCAATATGATTTCTTTCATGCAACTGACAGTAACTCTGTGTGGCGAACGCTTTCCCACATTGCTTACATACATATGGTCTCTCCCCAGAGTGAATTCTTTCATGGGTTTGACAGTAACTCTGTGTGGTGAATGCTTTCCCACATTGCTTACACATATAAGGTTTCTCCCCAGTGTGAATTCTTTCATGCATTTTACAGTTACTCTGTATTGTGAATGCTTTTCCACACTGTTTACATGCATAGGGCTTCTCCCCAGTGTGAATTCTTTCATGTATCTTACAGTAACTCTGTGTACTAAATGCTTTCCCACACTGCTTACATACATATGGTTTCTCACCAGTGTGGGTTCGTGTATGTCTGTTAAATGCTGATGTATCAGCATATCCTTTTCCACATTGCTTACATACATAGGGTTTCTCCCAAATGTGAAATTTTTCATGAATTATACAACAACTCTGAGTACTGAAGACTTTCCCACACTGTTTGCATACATATGCTTTCTTCCCAGTATGACTTCTTTCATGGATTTCAACACTCCTGGGATTGCTGGAGGCTTTCACACTGTTACAACCCACAAAAGTTTTCTCTCCAGGGTGAGTTCTCTCACTAAGATCAGAGTGGGTTTTCCCACACTGCTCATAGTGATAGGCTTTCTCTCCAGTCTTTGTCCCTTCACGTTTCTGAAGGGACAGGTAAACACTACAGGTTTTTCCACGGTCATTACCATTACCCAGCCTGTCATCAAATCCCACATACTCACGTGGCTTCAGTTCACTCTGAGGTAAAATGGGCACATTTAGTGACAAATGCCCAGTCAGGGGCTTTCTACACACAAGGTTGTCAGTTTGCTTTAAAGCAGTTTGCTGCACATCCACATTGGCCTCCGGAGTCCAAAGGAATATTTTTTCATGTTGATTCCAAGTTTTATATTGATAGAATTTTGCTACCTCTTTATTTCTGTTAAGAAAAAAGAACAAAAATATCAATCATAATAGAAAGGTCTCCATATCAATAATTTACCAGGACAAGTTCTGACTTGATGCCTACTAAGAAATTTTCAGAATGAACAGGCTGATTACCCTGGAGGATGCCAAACACTCACTCCCCCAAAGGATGGTATTAATTTGGGAATTTTAAATTGATATATATTTGTAGTATATAAGGTCTAATTTCATTTAGGTGACTGATACATATGCATGTATCTTATATGCACTGATCCATTTTGACATTTTCTCCCTTCTCTCCTTACGCTGGTCATCTTCCCATCTCCAATAAGTCAGCCTTTCTGTTCCCCATCACTTCTTGAATTTATCCCCTAATTTACATTTTCGTATCTCATATAAAAGAAAAAACATGACAACTCACTTTCTGTGTCTGACTTGTTTCACTTAACATTATGAGATGGAATACATATCTTTTTTTTTTTTTTTTTTTTTTTTTGGTCTTTTTTCGTTTTTATCGGTACCAGGGATCGAACTCACGACTGCCTGCTTGAAAGGCAAGCGCTTATGCCGCTGAGCTAAATCCCCAGCCCCAGATATCATTTTTTTTATTTGTCAAAATATATGATATATTCTTTAGGACTGAATATACAGCACATTTTTTTCAGTGCTGAGAATTAAACAAGGGTCTTAATACTGAATTACATTTCTAGTTTCTTGATTTCTTTTTTTTTTGTTTTTATCTTTTTTGTTTTTTATCGGTACCAGGGATCGAACTCACGACTGCCTGCTTGCAAGGCAGGCGCTTATGCCGCTGAACTAAATCCTCAGCCCCTTGATTTCTTCTTTTGAGAGAGATTCTCATAGCTCATTCATTTGGTCAGGGTGAACTGCATGTTGTTATCCTACTGGCTGAGCTTCCCAGAGCGCTGAGATTATCAGAAGCACTACCATGCTATGCTGACCCCACATTCTCCTTTTCCATGCACTCAGTGATGGACACCTACGCTGTTACCAGAGCTTAGGTGTTGTGCATTATTTATAGAATTTAATTATTATGAATACCCACGCATATACTACTTTGAGACTTAATGTGCATGTATCACTTAAGATATGATTCTCTTAAATCCTTTCAAAATATACATAGGGAAGTTTGCCTAGATCAAATGCATCTATACATCGATTATCAAAATAGTTCTATTTTATGTTCCTAGCAAGAACATACACGCTGCCTTCTAAGAGTTTTAAAACATGAATATACCCAATTCTATGGAAGGTGTTTTCAAAACGTCTATTACAACACTAGCATTCATCTTCATTTTGAATATTGTTTTTATATTAGCAACTTTTTAGATAATGTATGTCTCATATTCACATACACATACATAAACAGCTATTTTGAAGATGATTTCCTGTCAAAGTTCAAAATTTGTTTTTTTTATATATGCCTCTACATAATACCTAAACATAATTTGACATGCTTTCATGATGTTGATTATGAGAAAAAAATTTTATACCAATACATGAGCCAGTATCTCTTGTGGCACAATATCACTACTTAGTTTCCTATACTGGAATACTTCTTTTGTATTCAATTATCAGATTATATAAAATCAACCTGTATGCATATCTAGAGAATTTCTGTGATATTAAATAAATCCGAACATAGCCTCATTTGAAGAGTCTCTGTTGTTATAATATTTCTGCTCATACACTAACATCTGGGGAATATTTCTATTTTCTGTTTTTTTTTAAATTTTTATTTTATTTATTTATTTTTTGTCTTTTTCCTTTTTATCGGTACTGGGGATCGAACTCACAACTGCCTGCTTCCAAGGCAGGCGCTTATGCCGCTAAGCTAAATCCCCAGCCCAAATATTTCTATTTCTTATGAATGCAAATTACCTTAGGTTTCTTGAGCAATTTTTGTATTCTTCTTCAATTTGTTGGTTGTCCAAGGTACCTACTGAATTATAGCCACAGAAATAGAAAAAGTCACTAAATCATTATATAAAAATTAGCGGTTAGCAGTTAGATTCTTGGTATAATGTAAACAGATATTCTTCGTAATGTTTTTACATTCTACATAATGACTATACCAACCAGAAAAACCAATGAATGCATAAATGAGAAAACAGTTCCATCCTTACCTACAGCAGTCATATTCATAAAAGTTTCCCACATCACGTCTTTGTAGAGCTTCTTCTGGGATGGATTCAGCACAGCCCACTCCTCCATGGTGAAGTTCACGAGCACATCCTCCACGGTCACTGTCTCCTAAACAATTACACACATATTTCACACTCACACCCTGAGAACTTGAACTCCTCTTGTGAAAGCTGAATTGAGTTGATTTCTTCAAATATAAACTCCACATCTTGGTCACCAAACCCATGTGCAAGCACATATTTTCACACAGCAAATCTGATGTGAGATTCCAACTCACTGCTACAGCAACAGCAGAAAAGCAGCTCTGATTGCCTGGCAGGCTCACATTCTACTAAATCAGAGCTTATAGATGGAGCCTGTAAATCATCCACAAAGCACGGGGGCAGACAAAAATTTAATGAATGATTCTGACAGACCACAGATCACACCTCTTGTGAAATCTAAGTAGTCATACAATTATCTCACTCTCTGAAGGACTCAGGCTACATTTAGAAATTTGAATCAAGTTTCATAGAAAAAATTAATTAAACATTAAATATGACTTATGAATAATAATTAAAATGCTAATGCAAAACCAGTATTATTGGAGTAAGTCTATGGACCATGAAAATAGGGTAAGAGTGACACACCATCTTATATAGCTCAATGACACCAAATAATCACCTTCCACTCAGATATAAGAAATTCTAGAATTATCTAAGTGATACTAATGAAGGAAAGAAAACAAATGAAATATTTTAAATGCATTAAGAATGAAGATATCACAAAGCAGTTAGGCGCTAATGACAACAGAAAAACTTTAGCAAGGTATGCTGGTACATGGCTGTAATCCCAGCACTTGGGAGGCTGATGTAGGAGGCTTGTTGTGAGTTTGCGGGTTGCCAGGAGTTCAAAGTTCAGCACTAGCTATGTAATAATTCCAAGACCAGTCAAGATTACAAAATGAGACCTTGTGTCAGATTCACCCATAAAAAAGAAAAGTAAAAGAAATTATTCTATCACTTACAAAACACACCTTTGATCTGTTCAAAAAATTACAACTGACTAATATAATAAAAGACTGACAACATTCCATGCCTTGGGAGGATAGCGAGAGTATACATAAAAGATGTTAATATTCTACCTTTCATGACAATGTATGATCAGTAGAATGACAAATGGATCTCAAGAAAGAACAACATCCTTCTATGAACCCATATACTGATAAACAGAATACTGATTCAAAATGCCTCTGGAAGAAATCACAATACATTTCATTTATGGTCAGGGAGAAACTGGGAAATCTAGACTGTATACTCTGCTACTCTATGTACATAAATTACACATTGAAATAGGAAAGTTAAATATGAAAAAAGTGTCCTCAGAAGAAAATCAAGGAGCCATCTGAATTAGGAGAAACTGAAGTCTACAAAAACCATGGGAAAGAAATAAGACAAGAATTCAATATTTTCTATGTACACGACACAAAGATTTTGTGTAGAAAGTAAAGATCAATGAAAATATACCTAAAAAATAACTGTAACATAAGTGATTCAGGGGAAACACTGAATATAAAATATGACTTAAAAATTATTTGAGAAAATAACCATAGAAAATTGAGGTGTGGAAGAATACAGTAAGACTTATGCAAGAATGAAAAACCAACTGACATATTCCACACTCAGCTCTTTACTTAAGTTTGTCAACATTGACTGACCAGTGACTTTTTGCAATGTCCAGGGAGTACATCATGTGATTATTTGTATTAGACAGATGTGATTCTTGTCAAATAAACTTGAAAAACTCTGAACCTCATGACCAAGGGAACTAATGAGAAAGCACTTTTCTTTTGATTCACATATCAGCATTTGTGAAGACAGTGAGAAAACAAACAAACAAAAAACCTCCAAAGTAATTCTCTGGGCAAGTCTTGCAATACTTATTGAAAAATCCAAGGAAGGAAAATAAGAAAAATGTTCATCACTATTCATGGAAAAAAATAACATGGCTAAATTAGGTGAAGTTGCCAAAGGAGGAAATCTGATTGTCAATAAGGCAGCAAAGATGAGTCAAGCAATGTGGTTACCACCTGTACATGCTCATCCTTTGCCCAAGGCTCAATGATGAAATGTTCTGAATACACACAGGACAGTTATATTATTATTATTAAATCTCACCAGAATTTTTGAGAATAAAATTTATTATAAAATGTTAAATAGCAAATAACGAATTCACATTTACTTATATGTGTTTGTCTGCATTCAAGTATCAAAATAAATTCACAGATGCGGCAGCCATAAGCAAGCACAGTTGCAAATGTGAGTCCTACAGGTTCCCAGCAAGGTCAGAATCTAGGTTGGCCATCAGGAGACTAAGTCAGACTGCTGGAGAAAGTGAGAACAGGTATCAGAGCTGATCAGTGTCTAGACACCTGGGGTAAGGAGGCAATTCTATGACTAGATGACAGGAGTGATTGCCATGTGGACAAAGATGAGGACAGATTAAATAGGAAGCCATGCCAAAATGCACACTTGTCTAGCATTGCTCGATAAAATCTGCTGAGGGCATATTAAATAGACAATATTCAGTTTGTATCTCTGAGGATTACAATCATCAGATGATGACACAAAAAGCAATTCTTTACGAAGAACTAACAGTTCTGAACACATACATATACCACTAAACTGTACATCAAAATACATAAGGCAAAAATCATAAATGTGACAGCAGAAATCATTTATTTGCAACAATGTCTAAGGACTTCAAAACAACTCCATCAGTAATTGGCTGAAGAAGGCAGAAAAATCTGTATAGCCACAAATAAAATCTACATCATATTCCAAAGGGATTTATGTGATGCAGAATGTTTTAGCATGTAACTACATGGTACCTTCTTTTCTCTAAACCACAGAAATATTCACCTTATCAGACCATTTTCGAAAAACAGGAAGGATAAAAATGTCTTTAAAGGAATAGAAATCACTCAAAGCAAGTCCTTATACAATACTGGAATAAAATTAGAAATGAATCACAGAAATATGTTTAGAATACTCCTGCGAATTAGACATCAATTACAAGTTTTAAATGACACATCAACTGAAAAGCTTGATTAACTATTAAGTAATCATAATGTACAAAAGTGAATGTACATCTTATAAATGTTTAGAGACCAAGAAATGAGTGCTTCAAAAGAAATTAAGAATAATGAAAGTACATACTAGAAAAGAACAAAGATATCAACCTCTAAAAACAATGGCAACATAAAAATAAAGATCATTCCACAGACAACCGGCCATTTCACTGCTCAAATTCATGCAGATTATGAATGACAATGGAAAAATTATTAAAAGTATCAAAGGCATTACTGAAAAATTAGTCCATTGCAATAAAGTCTTGGACAAATGTCCTAAAATTTTATGAATTGCTACAGATAAAACACAAGAAAGAACAAAACAACAGATAGAGATTAAAATGGAACAGGGGAAACGGTCCTTACTTGCATATATCATGAAAATATATGCTGGAAAAATTAAATTGTCAAGAAAAAAATTAATAGAATTAGTAAGTACTATACCATAGAGTATACCTCTAGCTAAAAACATATACATTTTCTATGTGAATATATATCAGCTATAACAAAATGGATTGTAAATTGCAAACACTACACTATATGAAACCCATAGTAACACATTTCACAAATGTTAAAACCACAGTGAAAGAGTTGTAGTAAGTACAAGATAAAGCCATAAAATACATTAAATTGACAACTGTACGTAAGTCAAACTACCTCACATATTGGCAAAATGCAATCACATCTCTAAAAACAAAAACAAAAACAAAACAAAACACCTGAAGTAACACAAGTCCACAGGGAGTGAATGTGGCTGAACTATGAACTTCCCTATGATGGAAGGCCCACTAGGTTGCCCAACAGAATCCTAGAATAATCTTTTCATCATCGTAATACACAGTAACCTCAACTATTAACTCATAGCAATTCCTAAGAGTGGAAACCAAACAACATTTTGCTTGATAAGATTATTAAGGGCCAAAGACCCTCCAAAACTCTAATCCTGTGGCCACACGGTGGGTAGTTATATGCAATCAGGGAAACGCAGTGGAGATACTCACTTTCATCTTGATTCTATGGATGTTTACTCATATTTAGGAAAAATGCAAAACAATTACATCTAAATATTTCTTTGCCTCTTCAGATGTAATCAATTCTACACTCAGTTTTAAACTGAGAAAATCACAATTGTATGGTGAAATCTTGAAAAGAAAGTCTTCGAGGTCTTGAGGTAACCTGTATTTTAAATAAGCAAGTTGCTGTGAGAAGAGCAGAAGGCCAGTGTGTGCACAGGAAGCCTGCTTTGCTGTCATTCACAAGGGAACCCACGGTGAGGAGGATGGATACATTCCCAGGGTCATGGAAAATTCTCAGCGCGTGTGCAGCCCAGAGTAGTGCAGTCAGATGACAAGACACTGAAACAAGGAGAAGTCAAGAAACTTAAATCTTGGGCTTCTTTCCACACGGTCAGGCATCATTACAGGCTGAAATGGCTCTCCTGCTCACAGTCTCAATACAGAGCAGAGATAATAGTCAATAATCAGCTGAAGTGTGGACTGAGTTTTCCCAATTTTTCTTTTGAACGCAACTGTGTACTGTGTGCTGAGCACTGACCCATTCTACAACAAAAAATGGTGTGTCCAAAATCAGTGCACCACCCAAAAAGAAAAAAATGTTGACAAATTCAGAGCACAGTCCCAGTACAGTGTGCCAAATGAAGCCTGCTGTCCAAGACATGTGATGGTATTTTTCATTAGGAATCATCATTCTGAAGTTGTCAAGCTACGGCAGAGGGATAGCATTAGTAGAAATTAATATATTGTCTCAAAGTGGCTTATGATGAACAGAGAAAGGCATTCCTAGCATGCAGAAAATTATGACAGTCATAGATTCTCTCCTCCAAAATCTAGGGAATATATCACTTTAACTACATTACATACAGATCCAATCTCAAGTTCGTATATATTTATCTAGTGCAAGAAATTTCCAGTTAAGTCTTTCAGAATGACTCCCACAGATTCTCAATGGAAAACGTTTTCAACATTCTTGACATTAAAATGAGTAACTGACTGCAGTCTCCCTGGCCTTTCCCATGCAACCAGTCTGTAGGAGCCACACAGCAAGTCAGGCCATGCCAGCTTGGGTCTCTCAGCGACACACTGGGGGTGTCTGTCTCAGGCTGCTGAGCAGGAGGAATCTATTCTCTGGTCCACAGGTCTGGTCTGACAGTTCACACAATGCAAACTCTTTTCACTGCTGCAAGGCTGCTCTATGTCCTGCCCAATGAGCCAATGGGAAAACAAAGAAAACACACTGTACTCGTTCAGGGCCCAAATGACAGACTCTAAACAGAATTCTTCACTGCTCAGGATTCCTCCCACAATATCGACTCGACCCAATCAGTTGGGTAACTGATTTGAAGCAGGATTTGCTCCAAGATTTACAGAGCTGCTTGTTTCTCCTCATTGCACTCTGTGGGTTCCATCTGTTGTCCCTGAAGATGGGATAATTAGCCGTGCCACTGCACTTACTCAGTGACACAGAGAAAACCACAACCCAGTAAAGAACCTCAATCCAGGCAATGGCAGAACACAGCAAAATAGAAGTAAAGTACTAAGGTAGTAAGAGGTCAGAAAATGAAGGAGACACTTAGCTTTATGCTAAGACTTTTGCATCCATTATCTCTCAATCACTTACAGTAAGGAAAATTAAAGCATGCCAGAAGAGGCTATAATTATTTAATAAATGAACAAGTTGGCACAATGTTATTGGTATTATGTAAAGGAATCATGATGAAATTAAAATTTTCCAGTGCCTCAGACAGGCAGCTACTTCAACCAAGGTCACAACAAAATTTAGAATTCTAACTAATCACAGCAGGTGGGCCACAAGAGCTCTCTGTGATGGGGATGGAAAGCTGGGAACTTAACACAGTAACTTTTCTAAATACCCTCTTTTCTATTCACAGGTCCAAAATTTACCTTTGGCATATTAATTTCTCCAAAGTTAACGCTCTCAGCCTGACTCATGTGTTGGGTAGATTTCTGTTGTCACATCTGTTGGTTTTAGAGATGCCTAGGGTATTAGTGAAGCTCATCTGAGTGAGGTATAAAGGCATGACCTATGAGATTATATCTGGTGCCTGGAACCTTCAAAAGGACAAAATGTTGATGCTGGAAGCCTGAAGTAAGTTGAGACCAATATCCAAATGCAATGGCAAATACTGGAGCTCATCAATACCAGAGAAAAACAAGGAGACTTACTTTTCCCTTTTTTTTTCCCCACCTAGGGTACAATCATATTGGTTGTTGCCAATGACATACAAGGTGGGCACCATAATTTAGTCTACTTGAGCAATAGAAATAATGGGCACAGACTGTCCCAAGGACATACGATAAATAAAACTAAAATGTTCCAGTGGAGTAGACAGCACACTACAGGAATCCAGCTCTTTATCCAAAGATACAGGTGTGCCTTTTGTTCCATTTTAGCTATGAAATGAGAATATATTACATTTCTGTATCAGGTGATTAACCAAGAACTACTATGTCAATCAAACACAAGTAGAGCTCAGGAGATCACTATGAAGATGAAAGTATCTAGTGCACAATATACTTTGCACATAGGGAATGCATACTAAGTATATGATAATAGAGTTCCAGCTTAGAACTTAAACTGCTTTCAGAAGGAGAAAGTCCAGTGTCAAAAGACAGATGATGACCCAAGTTTAAAGCAGTTAGAAGAGTTTCCATCATCAACATAAAGTAAAATTAGAAATGGATATGTTTTCTCTTCAAGCTTGCACGTGCTCAGTGTCTTGTGTTCTAATTTCTCAGCTCTGTGTATTTTCATTGAAAGCTTCCATTCAATACCATCGTCCTGGTGATTAATCCAAACAGTATGGTAAGAGTGGGGCAGCTTTTCATAATTAAAGAAAAATGAAACTAAATGAGAAAAAAACAAACAAATGAGTATTTTTCCCTTTTCCAAACAGTATTATACTATTTTCCTAACTCAGGAAAAGCTGACTAATACAGCATTCAAAACAAGAAACAATCTGGTGAGTGTCACATTCTGCAGCAGACTATATGAAAAGTAAAATAAATGAGTCTTTAGAGGCTACATGACTTTGAAAGGGAAAATACATTCATCAATCCAAAGGTAATAGAAGATAAAATGTATTGAAAAGGTACAGAATACATGCAGTCAACCAAATATCACAGCTAAGCCTTGGGTCCTTTAAACCTGTTCAATACACACACCTTGATCTTGTATTTGCGGAAACTTATGTAATACAAAGTGAAATTCATAATACAGTCCTAAATATCCCATGTTCTTTACTGAATACAGTACATCATAAATCACTAGTTGTTCACCTATGGGGTCCTGTTTCTGACAGCAGTGGCTCATTACTGCTGTCTACCACCATGAGGAAGTATGGTACCATGTACCATCAGTGTGAAAAATGAGTAAATTTCAAAATTAAACATAAGATTTGCATTACTTTACCTTTTCTTTTTCTCTTCATTACTAGAGACTTAATTCAGGATCTCATTCACATTAGATAAGTTAGCTTGGAGTAGAGGTATATTGCAAAATATTTATTTCATGATGAAAAAGGGACTGGTCAGTTACCCAGGCTTGATGATTTATTACTCCCATGTAAGTTTCCCAACTAGCTGGTATTAAAGGTGTGCTCCATCATGCCTCACTGATGTTTAATTTACTCAAGCACTGAAATCTTGGTAAATGGTGACTGAAGAATATCTTAAACTAGCAAGGTAGCATGTGTCTGTGTTCCTAATACTCAGTGAGGTAGAGACCATCAAATTTTCTCCCATGCCTGGGGAATTTAGTAAGACCTGGACTCAATTTAAGAAAGAAAAAGAGAGAGAGAGAGAGAGAGAGAGAGAGAGAGAGAGAGAGAGAGAGAGAGAGATAGAAAGAGAGAGAGAGAGAGAGAGAGAGAGAGACAGACAGAGACAGAGACAGAGTCAAAGAGAGACAGACAGAAACAAGAGTAAGAAAGAAAAAGAAGATAAATTGGGAAGGATGTAGCTCAGGGGAAAATTCTTGAGTTCACTCCCCATACAATGAAAAAGATCACACACTTTGAAATCTTTTGTATCCAAGAGAAATCCCTTCCCATTATATGTCAGTGATGATGTCTTCCCTATTTTTATAAACCTACTATAAGACCAGTTTCCTAATTTCTAATTTTGCTGCAAAAATGATTAGGTGAGCTCACCAGTACCCACAAGAAGAAATATTTATCTATTACTAAGTTCTTTCTTTAGGTCTCTGACCTTTGACCCAATACCAGAACAAGCCAGCACACAATCCTTCATTTATTATCACACTAAGAACAATCTGTTGTAATTGTTGATTTTTACCATCCTTCAAAATCTCTTGCTCTCCCATTTCCTTTTGACTTCCCTTTGCTCTCGCCTGTCCAAAAAATATTTTTACTTTATTTATTCATATGCTTGCAGACCTTAACTATGGGAATTTACCCCTACTTCAGTATTTGTTTTATATAAAAATATCAATGTTCAGTTTTTTTTTTTTTTTTTTTTGTACCAGGGATCAAACTCATGACCTTGTGCTTGCCAGGCAGGTGCTTACACCACTGAGCTAAATCCCCAGCCCCAATATTTCAATTTTTTAAAAAATAATGTATACATCCAGTCCACAAGTGACAAAGCATTTAGTTCAGAGATGACATCCTTTCCCTTTCCCATGTGCACATCACCAGTTCAGTCTCAATCTCTGAGTTTAACAGGCAGCCCCTTCAGGATGTTCTTAGCAGGAATACTTTTCTCTCCTTTGGTAATACACCAAAATCCCCTCCATCTTTCTCAGCATTCTAAATTCTAAAGAAAGTCTCATTTAAATAGTTTTAAATGTAAAGAAAAATTTAGTTAGCTCATAAATAAGGCACCTTGCTAGGGAAGGTCTTGAGACAGAGATGGAAAGTAGTCATTCTGATAAGAATTAAAATGGGAATAGACGATTATCAAGGACTTAAGACCAAGAGTAAACTTTCTATACAACAGGGAGTGCAGCCGCCTCCATACTGAAAGGATTTGCATGTGCACTGTACTAAACTTCTCATAATACTAAAGCTGGGCGTAGTAAAACATGCCGGTAATCCCTCGGCAGGCCGAGGCAGGAGGGTCGCTGAGGTTTGCTCTACAAAATAAAGTTTAAAGCCAACCTAAGCTGCAGAATGAAACCCTGTCTCAAAAAGACACAAGAATAGATAAATAAAGAAATAAAGTTTAAAAGTCAAATGAAAGAAAATACAAGTTATCTAACGTTTCTCTAAAATCCCATTTTCTTTTTAACAGTGCATGCTGAGGAAATGGGTGAGAGAGCCCGAGTTCAAAGTAGTTGTTTTAAATCCACAGAGCCCTCGGTGATAGGTGGTCACTAAACAGCTGAGTATTTCCTGGGCTCTGCTTATTCATAATTAGCTCTGGACTGCAGGGCTATGGGGCCTCTCACTTGGGACACTTCCAGAAGTCAGCGCGCTATTATTCTTCCTACTTTCAACAAACTCTCTGCTAACATTTATCCTTTGACTGCAACCTCATTTTTCAATGTTGTGAGACCAAGAACCTTGTTCATTCAGTAACATCACTGCAAGTGGAGGAATCACGTGAAAAACTACAGTGATGGTTTGCCCACAGCTCTTGCTCCTTGCCGAGTGGTGCAGACACAGCTGCTCCGGGGCCAACCAAGAAGACATCCTAGGCTGGCAGTGTGCGAGCTGGCACGGTGCACTGGGGACCCAGCACTGTTCCCGCCCGAGCAAAGGGGGAAGTGTTACGAATGACGACGTAGCACCAAGGACCAGGGAGACCTCGGCGTCTGGAGCTGAGCAGGGAGGCTGTGCACTGCAACAGCCGTTTCCGACCACTTCCCTCCAGAACACACCCGATTTCGTCCCATCCCCGGCTCCCGTCCTACAACGTCACCATTGTGTGGCTTGAGGGTCTCCCGGGAGCCTTCGAATGCAGCGCGCAGCCAGGCGATATTACACAAAACCCGGTCTAGTCAGCAGGGACTCTCAGCAACACCGATGAAACCCACTGTACGCCATGACACAGGAAGTGCCCGTCCCCTCGGCCCACCTGATTGGGTAGCGCATCCAGGCGCCGCCTTCGTTGCTGATTGGCTCCTGCTCTATTGTCTGACAGCTGAGCCGCCAGAGAAGCAATTCTCTTCTGGACTAGGCTCTCCCGTGTTAACTCTTACCTCGCCTGACCATATTAGCATTTAAGGGCTTTACTCCTGGCTTTTGAAAGCCTTCCTGGTTTTCTTAATGGACGCGGCGAATTCTTCCTGCAAATTGGTCGTAAACGCGCTCAGAAGATTCCAGAGTTGCTGTCCTATAGAATAATCACTCCCCTCATTGCAATAATTTACATTCCCTCCAACGATGCACTAGGGTTTCATTTCTTCAACATACTTTATAACACTTGCTATTAATCATTTTATTAGTTTAAATATTCGTTGAAATAAACATCTCTAGTCAACTACTGTCTTACACTGTAAAAAATAAATTGCACATGTGTGGATGGGTCTGTTTCTAGTTATGGGAGAGCAGTGAAGGTATTCTACACATGGTATTAGAGTCAGTGGTTCTTGGTTTACTCTGTCAAGATCATTTTCTTAGATGAAGGAGACGTATTTGTTATATTGATACGAAAATTTTAAAAGATAAAGTTCTATGGTGGATGCACCTTCAGTTCCTGTCAAATATTTCCTGGCTGCTCTTTCTGATGTCCTGCTCTCCCTGCCTTGGATACCACTGGTCTCCTAGCTCCCTTCCTGAGGGACCAGGGCACACATGGGTGTACACTGGTGACTCCAGTGTACACTCTGTGGGAGACTGTAGGAAGGTCTTGTCTTTCATTCTAAGAAAGTAGATTTAAAAAAAAAAACAGATTGGAGAATAAAAACTAAGTGAAAAATACATTATTTAAAAAGATAATTAAATGAGCTCTGAGTTTGATTTATGCAGTTATACAGCACAAGAAATGTAAGACTTAAGTTTTCAAAAGTTTTATCCATTATTAAGCTCGGGTTATCTCTCTTCTGCCTCTAATCTAAATACCAAAACTGGCGGGAAAGGGAACATCAATAAGGTCCTTTTCAATGGAAAAAAGTTTGAATTACTGCCTGTGCGTCCTCAAGTTCCAGTCCTGTGATCACAGAAGACTCATTTTTTACCTTCAACAATTACACTTGAACATGCGTACAGATGAGAATAAATCTTACTATTGAGTCAAATTTTTACTTCAGGAGCATGAAAGATAAGCACAGACTCATGAATTCAGAGTCTCCCGGGAAATACGTCACGTGGACCGAAGCCTCACATCTCCACAGGAAATAATTCTGCTCCATCCTGTGCTTCTGTCCTGCACAGGGCTGAACTCCGTGTGTCCTGTGCGCCCCCTGCTGGTCCAGAACACCACAGCAGGGAGGTTTTTGTCAGGGCTCACCTTGATGTCCTCTCACTGTGTCTCTCCCACAGTAGTACACAGCGGTGTCCTCGGGTTTCAGTTTGGTCATTTGAAGATACACTGTGCTTTTGGAGTCATCTCTGGAGATGGTGAATCTGCCTTTCACGGATGCAGCGTACTCTGTTGTGTGACTATAAGCTGCGTTTCTGATAAAACCAACCCACTCTAGGTCCTTTCCTGGAGCCTGGCGGATCCAGTGCATGTAGTAATCGCTAAAGGTGAATCCCGAGGTCACGCAGGAGAGTCTCAGGGACCCCTCAGGTTGCACCAAGCCTCCTCCAGACTCTACCAGCTGCACCTCAGCCTGGACACCTGCAAACACAGAGACATCTTGCTCAGAAAACTGTCACATATGTCTACCATTTATCCCACTCTCTCCTACTAAATATTTCTTGTTCTTCACTAATTACCTTTTAAAACAGCAACAAGGAAAACCCATCTCAGCGCAAGCTCCATTGTGGGCTGTCTGTGCTCAGTCCCGATCCCCGAAAGGAAACACCTGGGACTCCAGGGCTGGGCTCCTCTGCAGAGCTGCAGAGTGAGGGGTGGACTGGTTTACATTGGGACGGGGAGGCCCCATTTGCATGGCCTCCTGCTATATAGAGAGCTCTGAGGCCGGGAAGTAGAAAAACTTCAGTAGCAGATTCATGTAAGTCTGCAGGTCAAGTTTGGTGAAAATAATATCATTATGTAAAACAAGAATTTCATGTAACTCTGTTATGACACTCAAGTCTAATTCATAGCCTTATTTCATTTTTACATATTTAAATACATTATACAGGTGTCAGTGTTTGCTCCATTGTACAAATGTTGAATTCATTACAGAAACACAAATGAGTGATTCAGTGTGACCAAGTGTTGATATATGGTGTGAGAAGTCCAGGGGAACCAGGTCCTCCCTTGTGATCTGCAGAATAGAGCTGGGCATGTGCAGTGAGATTCACAGAGCCTCTTTCCTGTAGTTAAAATTTGCTCCAATTTCTCTACCTTTAGACTTAATCTGTGCTTCAGGGATGCATCCCCCTGTGCACATCCAGGTCGAGCAGCATGGAGGAAGGCTGTAGGTTGCCTGGGAGGCAGCCTAGATTCGGATCAGGTGAAGCAGGTATGCACAGATGTATCAAACACCAACTGAAGGATTTAACTGTTTTTTTTTAGCAAGAGAAAGCAGATGCACCAATGAAAACTGCCCCTGGAGAGGTGGTGAGCAGTGCTACCAGGGACCAAGATCAGTGCCAGGCCTGGGACAGTGACTTTTCCAGATTTCTCAGAACAAAGGAGCAGTTCCCCTGCTAGCAGATGGACAGAGGGCAACAGTTGGAATGGCATATCCCGGAAGGAAGTGTGCTGTGGGTTCAGTATCCCATAAGACATTTTCAGATTCCAGCAGAGCTTGTCCTGAAGATACAGCTGTTAGTTAAAGCTATCATGGCCTCAAGTGGATCAGTCCATGGTATATAGGGGCCAGTGGAAGAACAATGGAAGAGACAAGGAGTTCTTCATAAAACACAAGCACTTTGGTTGAAAAAAGAAAATGTAATCTATTTTGATCAGGGCATGCTGCCTGCTATGAGTTTTCATGGGAAAATTACTTTGGAAGAGAAGCACAAAATTTCTATGGCCCCAGATGGAAATGAGGGTTTTCTCGGGATTTTGCAGCCCAGAATATGGTGGAGGATGTTGGAACAAAGAGGCACCTGGTGCACTTGCATATGCTATGTGGATGATGCATTGGTTAAAGCGGTGCCAATGGTTATTGAATTCCACGTTGAGAAAGGGCAGACTGTGGAACAAAGGTGATAGAGGAGAGAACACTATAGAGCGAGGTGGAATGGTTTGCCCGGTGCATGGCGGATAATAGTTGGCTGTGTCTTCCTTGGTGACAGAGTTCAGCTGCAGGGAGAACTGGTTTTTGCCTGTGTCTCTGGAAATAGAGATGCGGCTCTTGAGGGAAGGGCTGTAATCAGTGCCACCACTGATACTTATGTACCCCATCCACTCCAGGCTCTTTCCTGGAGGCTGATGGATCCAGCTCCAGTCATGACCTCTGATTGTGATGGAGAATCCAGAGACTGAGCAGGTGAGGGACAGGGTCTGCTATGGCTTCACCAGGCCAGGCCCTTACTCCTGAAGCTGCTCCTGAGACAGGACACCTGGAAGCAAGGGTAAAATTCCTATCAGCCACCTGCTTTTCTAATCTTCCCATTGACCCATGTCTGACACTGAGGACATTCACCATGCGGACCTATCACCAGGCACAGGAGAAGACCCAGAAGTTTCATATTCTAGGTCACACCTTTACCTTCTGCAGAGATCTTAGGGTGTCTGAGTAAGGAGCTATCCGTTCCACTAGCTCAAGAGGGGAATTTGAGTCTATATTTGGGAGACAAATTTGCATTAGGGAGGCTCCTTTTCTTTATGATGGTGACGTAGAGGTAAGGATGTTTTTGGTCCTTGTGATGCAGAAAGGAATCTCCTCCCCTGCACTCCTGTGGTGTCCACATCTGTGAGAGGTGGGAAGCTGCCTTCCCTGCAGTGGAGGAAGCATGGCTATGACCCCTCCTTCCTAATCCTACACCAGCTTCCTCCAGCCCTGCTCCCTTTTTGTTCCCATCCTGACTGTGCCCTCCTACAGGAGCTCTGGTGTTGCTTCCACAGGATAAAGACGAGCATAACTCCCTCCACCTTTCCCCGACCTCTCGCCTCTGGTGTGGTCCACATTGCTGGAAAGCTCACTTCACCACCATTAACTTTGTCAGGAGAGGTCTTCCTGCCTCCTGTTCTGAGACACCAGGTCTCACTGACCAGAGCCCACAAAGACTGGAGATGAGGATGTGTGTCCTGTGCCTTCCTCACAGAGAAGCCTCACTGGGGGAGGGAAGAAGGTTGTCTGTGCTAAGTGTCCCTTCCATACCTGACCTTGTGTAGGTGCTGGCTATCTTTTCCCTTCTAGCTTCCCCTTCTTCTCATGTTTTGTGATTCCTAAATTCCAAATGCTTATCTAATTACAGTTGTCCCTTTTTGAGCAATTATCCACTATAAACACTATGCTCATCATGACAATGTACCTAAAATTAAAACTTAACTCTGACTTTCCAATCTTTTTCAGCCAGAAGCATGCAGTACTTGGTCACTGTTGGTACACTGGGGATTCGGTGAAATGTTTTCCAGTGCAGTGCAGTGCAGCAAAAACTCTCATGATTTCTTGCCACTCAGTTCCATAGCAAACACTTTATAAATTTTCTAAGGTTACCACAAAGAGATGGAATCTACCAATGTCATTAATTAGATCTCCTAAATTTATTCCTGTGTGAGCTCACATCCTTATCAATTCATCTGTGAGTCAGGAAAGTGGGGCTGAGGATTCCTGAGTGAGTCATGATGGAGATGTGAGCCCAGCTCCATCCCACCTAACTGGGAGACCCTGAGCATGGGGAGTGTGCATTCTGACCTCCAGTGTGCAGAGGAGCAGATTCTGGATGAAGGGGTCACTCTGTGTGGGACCTCTTCAGCAGGGAGACACAAATGTCCAACATCATCACCACTGCCTTGAGTACTATTTGTCTACTTTGGAAAAGGAAAAGCCCCATGGAAATCTTACCTGTGATCTACAAGACACTAGGTCTGCTGTGCTATTATGTCACACCTGTGACTGGGATGGGACCCTGCCCTTCAGTGCACTGTCCTTTCAATGCATTGACTGATCTCCATCCATGTCCTCTGAAAATCTTATTTCATCATGCCACTCCCTGGATAGAGACCTCAATCTAGCATATGCACTCTGTTTACAATTATCATTTTAAAAGATATTTTTCATTAGTACATATTTTCATGATATAATGATTATATTCATCAGGGTTAGTTAGGCAATACAATATGCTTTTTACCCTTTTTATCTCCTTCCCCAAATCTACACAAATCAGGTAGCCTGCATGCAGGTAACAGCCCAGTCAATAATAATAAGCAGAAGTAGATTAGCAGGCTGTACATGGACTCTCAGGGCAGGATCAGGTCAAGCAGGTGGAGCTGTTCTGAGTCCTAGTAAGAGAGCACTGACCCTGACATCTAGAAGTAAGTGTGTCTGTACCTCTCTGGGTAGGAACTGGTTCTGATCTTTGATACCAGACCCCTCTACCTCCCTGCTCTGAGGTCATGCTTAGAGTTACTCCTGCACCCACGGTTCTTATCTCTGTTCTGAATTACACGACTTTGACGGATTTTAGGAAGACAAATATATTCCACAGAGAGAAGAATAAACATTTAGTTATGCATAAGCTCTCGGGGTGGGGAGGGGGGATCACAGGCTCTGCTAAATCCTTGGGAGGCCAGTGAGCATTTGTTCACTAAGGTTAGGAAAGTGCCTGTTTCCTTTGTGGGTTTTTAAACTGACAAGCATTGCCTGTAATCTACATCGTGTTACAGTTCTGGTGGGAAGATCCAACAATTAACAGACACTGACACAGGAAGAGGAAGAGGAAAACCCTTGCAAGGTAGCAGTGAGGAGAAAGTTGATAACCAGGGACTAAGGCAGTGGTGGATTTCATAAGTAGGAAGTGAGGATGGCTCACTGATGGATTTCCCTCCATGATGATATGAGAGCATAAACTAAGTGTGGGAGGTGAACTTTGTGAAACACATCTGAGAAGAAATGAGGCTGTTCATAACTGTCAGGTCAGGAATGTAGAGACACAGTGACACAGGGGAGCAGCAGTGTTGCTGAATAAAGCTCAGCTGAGGTGTGTGGTGAGATGAACACCCAGGAGCTCCATGTTCCTCCTGGTTCCATTCACTACTTTTCTTTTTACAACATTAATGCTAAATTTGAACTCTTACCTGAGCCAGATTTCTAAGGTCTCAATTTGAAAATGGTATCTGCACAATCACCACTTAACTCAGAGCAACAGAGATGAACAAAACAGAGGAAAACTCATAAAATATTTTAGATTTTCAGGAATCTGCAGGAAGTTGTAATTCAGAAGGTGCAGTGGAGAGGATCAGACACCATCTCGGGGAAGGGCATATTCTCAAAGATGGGGAGGTCCTGGGTAGGAAACAACAGATGCCCCAGAGACATCACATCAAGAAAATGATTTCTCAGTCCTTAACCACAGGACACATCAGTGAGGATGCTGCACCAGATGAGGAACAGAGCAGGGTGAGGAGGTGGAGGTGTGTTAGCTTCTGGGGATGAGTGTGAGGGTGAGGTCCTTGGTCACATCTGAGAGATGGGGACTGTGTGTGAGAATGTCAGCTCTGCTCTGCCTTCAGGAGCCATCGATGTGCATGTAAGTGATTTAGTTCTGTTCACTTGGGACCTGGTCACAGAAAACTGTAATGATAAGAGTGATATTAGTAATCATTGGAGTATATTTGATTGTTTTAGAAAAATTTACAAATACACGGATGACTGTCAAATGCAGAATTAAGTGAGATAAAATAAAATGCATCAAGGCAGAATCATGAGAATCCATTTAGGAAAAACCATGAACTCTGTGAGACTGGAGGGTTTCATCTCATCTATTCTCCATTGTTTTCCTGATAGACTGAAAAGGAGAGATGAGTAAGAAAGAGACAACACAGGAGAACGGAGGAGCAGTGAGCAGCAGAGGAGAACTGCTCCTTGCCTGCTATCCAGACCCTGGATCAAAGCAACATGAGGGAGATCAGGAAGACAGCAGTGAGGCCCATGGATACGGGAAGGGTCGCACTTGTGAGTTAAAGTCCATGGAGACAGAGAATTCAGGAACCAAGCAAGAATAAGAGAGTCAGGGGTGCTGATCTGGCTGGATGAGGAAAACAGCTGGAAGCAGCGCAGTCCCTTCACCTCATGTGCTGGTGGAGGCCCTGTCAAGTGGGGAGAAGCAGCAAGGAAGCCGTGCAGCCTATCCCTCTTGCCCCTCAGTGACACACACATAAGCAATGGGACGCAGTGCAGGCTAGGATGTTACTGATTGAAGTAAGACAGCGACCTGGCACTTAAATTGTTTGATTGACTTTGCAAGCCTGGGGCCAGAGCCTGAGCAACTAATTAGAGGATGAGGTTATGTAGTATAGTAACAATGGTGAGTTTGCTACTGTCCTATCACTGTTTTGTTTTGTTCCACTTTACTGTTCTATTTTATTCCTGTAAAGTAAAAATGTAAAAAAACAGGAAAAGAAAGTGGTGCAACAGAGAGAAATGGAGATTAAGATAGAGAATGGTTTTGCTGTATTTTATAAATTTTTAAGTTTGTAATGTACAAAAGAAAGGCACAGGACCAAGTCCTACTCAGCTGTCTTGTCTAGGAAGAGCACATTTGGGTCCATAGATAGTGCCCTGAGTGCAGTCAGGCTGCCCCTCTCCCTCCTCCCCTGAGCTCAGGGCTCCTCATGGTGCTGGGGCTGAGCCTGGGCACCAGGTCTCCTGAGGTGGCCAAAGAGGGGAGGGAGCTGTGTGATCTGAGATCCCACAGAGAGAGATGGGAAGGATTTAATTTCCTAATCTGAAGCATTTATTACTGCGTGAGATAGTTCCTCATCACCCAAACTAAACCAGCAGATCAATTTTTAGATGATGAGAATATGACACTGGATAAATATTAACTATATAAAACGCACAGGTTTGTTGAGATGGGTGCAAGTAAAATTCATACACAGAAAATGAAAATAATATCAGTTCTTATGTACTCACAAAATTACATGTAACAGAGAATTTTTCCTTGAACTTGGGTACTTCATTGTGGGTCAATTCAGGACCTAAGGCCTTAAAGCAGAAGGGAAACCCAGAGGCCCCAGGAAGCCCTCTCTCTTCTGCTTCCTTCTCTGCACCTGCTCCTTAGGCCCTGCATAGTTCTCCTCGACCTCTGCTGGGCATGTGCTCCATTGCAGTGAGGTTTTTGGGTTCACACTAATGTTCCCTCACTGTGTGTCTGGCACAATAATACACTGCCGTGTCCTCGGTTTTCAGGCTGGTCATCTGCAAATACAGCGTGTTCTTTCTGTCGTGTCTGGAGATGGTGAATCGGCCCTTCACAGAGTCTGCATAGTGTATGCTACCACCAGTACTGATGTATGAGATCCACTCCAGCCCCTTCCCTGGAGCCTAGGGTATCCAGCTCATGTCATAGCTACTGAAGGTGAATCCTGAGGTCACCCAGGTGAGTCTCAGGGTCTCCACTAGCTACTCCTCAGCCTGGACATCTGAAAACACAAGAACATTCTGTTCAGGAAACTGTCACACATGTCCACTGTTTATCCCAGACATGTCCATTTTCCCATTCTGTATCCTTTGTTCTCAATAATTTACCTTTCAGAAGTGCAAACAGAAAAACCCAACTCAGCCCAAACTCCATAGTGATTGTCTGTGCTCAGTCTGGATCACCAAGTGGGAACAGCTGGGCATCGATGGCTGGGTTTCTTTGCAGAACTGCATGGTGAAGGCTGGGCTTGTTTTCATGAGCACAGGGAGGCCCTATTTGCGTGGCCTCCTCCTATATAGACAGCTCTGGGCATGAAAAACTCAGAAAGCACAGAGCTCCCATTTGATGTTAATGTGCCGAGAATGTTTGGCTAAATGATCTCATTCAAGACAACATAAAAACTCATCATGAGATGAATTCTTGGTCTTTATCTCTTTGTCTATATTTTTCGTGTACTCATAACATGATTATTTATATTTTTCTGCCTTGGAAATTTGTAAATTTATCAAATTGTCAGGAATATTTTCCTTTCCTATAGAAGAGCTAATGTGCTGTAAATGTTCTCCCAATCTCTGGGCCTACGCTCTCCTAAGCTGTGAACAAACTGCTTCTTGTCCCACGTCCTGGATAGATCACACACACCTGGGATGACTGTCTTCCCCTCTTCCTACAGAGAGGACATGTGTGACTTTGCTGCATTCTTCTGTCTGCTGAGAGAAAACACAAGCTTTGTCCATGTGGATGCCTGCTACTGAGGCTCTTAGTTTCACCTCTCATGAACTCTCTCACTCTTTCTGTGTGTTGAGACTTTGTATGTCTGTGATAGCTTCATTAGACATAACAGATAAACTTCCCATAGAAAAAGTGTGCACCTGAGAAGGATTTAAACACAGGAACACTTGTACCACAACCCACACAATCTCAGCAGTGAACTCATGGGTCATCCTCAGTGTATCCTGAGGCTCCTCTGCAATCCCTCCCTCCTCTACTCCAGGCAGTTTGTGACCATCCTCAGGTTGCTTTACATTAACTGTCCTATTTCAACATATATACTAAGAGCATACCCTCTATAATGCTGGTTATGTTTAACACAGAATATTTATTTGAGATATCTGTATATGACTATATGAATGAGCAGTCACAGATATTTAAGCTGATTCACTCACAAATATGTAAAAATAAAACTGGAGATACAGCTCAGTGCTAGGCTATTTGCCTATTGATTCTGAGGACTTTTCTTCCCCAGAAAGGTAAAAATAATCAGTAAATTAATGGTTAAATGCTTCAGATTAATTCCTCAGGTAGTCTGTTAGTGTTCATTTAAGTGTTCCAAGCTTCTGGTTATTACAAAGGCCTCTGATCATCATCTTCAAAATGTAGACACACCAAAAAAGTTGTTTTTAAATAACAAACAGTACAACCATAAAAAACTGGATTAACTAAATCAATAATTTGTAACCACATAAAAGGAATGAAATTATAAGGCACAAACTATACAGAATTTGGGGATACAAGCTTTACATAATAAATAGGATGAAACTTTATCTACCTAGGTCCCAGGTCATTCTAGGCCATGTGATCAGGTGATTAACCTGGAAGCAATTTCTGGATTACTAAAGGCTGCATGTGCTGAAACATCGGAGTGTTAACAGACAGGTGCAGAAACTTAGGGGGTGAGCATGTCTATGACAGCCCCTGTAAAAATACTCCACAAGAGCAACTTACATTAAATACATGTTTTGTCTTACATTTCTGGTCCTGAAAGTTCAAGAGCAGGCAATGACGGAGCTGGTGTCCGGCAGGGTTCAGCTGTGTGCTCTAACTCTTGTCTAGTTTCTGCACCCTCAGATAGTGGAAGAGATGCACACTGGGTCCCTCCATTGCAGGGAGGCAAAACAAGAGATCAGCTCAGGTCTCAACTGATTTCGACTATTGAACTCTGGTCTCTTCCACGCAAATCTCTCAAAAAAGACTCCACGTGGTAATGACGTCCTCCAGGGGGCGCATGAGCTCCCATATGGAAACACTGGGAGCCTAGGCTCTCAGACCCCAGCTCTCCATCCTCTTCTATCTCTTACTGAAGTCATTTTACTCTTTCTTAATGGCCCAAAGCTTTCAATCTGTCTAGTACCAAATTAAAGGTCGAATGCAAATACCCTCTAAATAAATGAAGGGTGGCTGAAGCCTGAAGTATCCTTGACCGCTTTTTATGATGATGGCTCTGTAGGTCAAGGTCTTGCAACAAATGAGACCACAGACGTGCACTCTGTGGCTGCTCTGCACCGGGTCCAATCTCACAGTTGTGCTGGTGTCGTTTTTTGGGATGCTCTGCAGTTTCCTACCTTCTGCGGGATTCACTTCCTGCACCTGAGGGGGTCTGGGTCTTGCTCTGACAGCCAGATGGAGCAGTGAAGGATGAAGAGATAAGGGTTGTTTACTTTCACATGATGAGCTTGATGGTGAAGTCCATTGTGACTTGAGAGAGGCAGGGATTTCAGGGTCAGGACATCACTAGCTCTGCCTTCAGGAGTCATGAATGTGAAGGGGTCAGCAGTGTAGGTCATTTCCTTCAGGTCAGTGTATTCTTAACTCACAAGAAACTGATTATAGGAGGGAGACATTATTTAGTTTTCAGAAGTCATTTCCTATTTCATGCAACATCACATACAGATGAGTGATTGATAATTACACAAGTAATGAAGCACAATAAAGAAACTGAGAGCTCTGGCAGAGATAAATGAATTTTGTGAAAATGTGGGCATTCAAAGTTTAAATATACTTTTCTTAAATGAAATGGATATCCCTGTGTGTGTGTGTGCACGCACGCACGTGTGTGTGTGTGTGTGTGTGTGTGAGAGAGAGAGAGAGAGTCTACAAATGCTTTCTAGTTTGTACCCCTGCTCCAAATTTAAAACTCATTTTTGCTATTTCTAGTTTTCAAAACACACAAAGCACTAACTGTTTTGCAGGATTGCTTATAGCAGAATGACCATCAAATCTGATTCTGATGTAGCAAATGCTCAGGACAGGGACTGCTATGTTTAGGGCAAGCATAATTTTTAAAGAAAAAATGTGTTCTTTTCCAGCATAGTGCTGCCACTTCTTTTTTTTTACAAAAGGAAGTAAATCATGGGAAACTGGTCTTGTTGGTTGTACCATTTTCTCAGCTTCTTAGCCAAATTTTCAATTACATCAATCTTTACAGACTACACAAGGACAGTTTTTTGTCTCACCTATGTTAATAAATATTTAAGAAGCAGATGATACAACCATCAATGATAGGTAGATGAGAGCTGATGAAATAGTTAAGATTTGCATGGGCAGAGTGAAACAAAATAGTTAAATTTTGGATGATACAGGCATAAAGACAGAAATAAGGCACACAGTTAATGATAGATTACAAGTATGTGAATAAATAATACATTTACAGTAGAAACAAATGAAAGGTGAATGCAAAGTGAGTTGATGGGTCAATAGAAATACGACAGAGCATGGATGGATACAATGATGATAGATGGAAATATAGACAAATAGTTCAATAGATAGATGATACAAAAATGGATAGATAATTATATTAAAATGCTTGCCCCGATTCCCTTTGTAATACTTAATTTTGTTCATAATTTTGAAACTATCAATAAATGACTTTTATATATCTAAACCTGTAGAGAAACAACCATGATTTGCATCTTAGGGAATCAATTCAATGGCAATTTCCCATGTCCCCAAATCCCTATGATCCCAAACCTCTCTCTTAAACATTTTACATGAGAAGGAGTCAGAATGAAGATTTCTCCTAGTTTTGTCCTCAGGGACTTGGGAGAGCACAGAGAGAACTGGAGTCCAGGATCTTCTGCGGTCAGGCCCTGAACTTATATCTTGGTCTTGACTCTGCTGTGGGTACCTTGTTCTTCCATGGATCCTTGGTCAGGTTCCCAGGTCAACCGGTGCATAAGGAAAAAGTTGACAACATTGTTCCCAAACATGCTGATGACAGTTGCAGAAATGTCCAAATTTTATGGAAGGTAATGTAAATATACTAAGTTCACTCTGCAAGACACACAAACATGATATTTAATATATTCAACAGAAATTTCTGAGACTCACTATTACTAACAATAGGACCTAATGAATACACCTTGGGCACTGCCCTATGACTGCAAGGTGTGGGACAGCGTGATGGTCCTTACCAGTTTGATGCTGAGAGAGGCCCCTCCACAGTGGAATCTACCACAGCTCTCCCAAGGCATTACCCTACATTGCCAAGTGTGGGGAAATCAACAGTTCCAATACCAGATGAACACTCAGATCAACACATAGAGATGTCCAGCTATTCAGAGTAAAAGTCTCTGCATGAACAGATTTGGAAAGTGCCTTTCAGGACACGAGACCCTACAGGTGGAAGGCAGACTTGCATTCAACAGAGAAACAATTTTCATAGTTAAATATTTCTACATCTAAATTTCTTGGGCTTGGGACAGTGTAATCATTGTGCTGTGAACAAGGGCTTCATTGAAAATGCATTGTGCATTGACAGGAAAGTAACAAAAGCCCGATTCCATGAAAACATAGCTCTGTAGGATCAGCGACATAGAAGGTTCCTAGAATCTCTCCCTGGATTACTGAAAAAAACCCTCCCGGCTGTCACGACAGGGCTGAGAAGTTGGTTCCCTAGAGCAGTGTGTACAGCGTGCCCCTGCTGGATGTTTGTTTCCCTGCAGGGAGGTTTATGTTTGAGCTTACAATTATAGGAAATCACTATATATCTTGCACAGTAATAGGTGGCTGTGTCTTCTGTGGTGACAGAGTTCAGCTGCAGGGAGAACTGGTTCTTGCCTGTGTCTCTGGAGATGGAAATGCGGCTCTGGAGAGTCGGGTTGTACTTAGTGTCACCATCGTACCAAACATGCCCCATCCACTGCAGGCTCTTTCCTGGGGGCTGAGGGATCCAGATCCAAGCATTATCACTGGTGATGGAGTAGCCAGAGCCTGAGCAGGTTAAGAAAAGGGTCTGTGAGGGCTTCACCAGGTCAGGCCCTGACTCCTTCAGCTGCAGCTGGGACAGGACACCTGGGGACAATAAAAATGATCTTATACATTACATGGTTTGGTGAGATTTCCATGGACCCATGTCTGACACTGAGGGCACTCACCATTGGGAGCTGTCATCAGGCAAAGGAGAAGATCCAGCAGTCTCATCTTGTAGATTATACTCTTCCCTTTCAGGGAGTCCATGACCCTGTCTGGGAATGGAGCTGTGAGTTCCACAAACTGTGAGCAGATTATGAATCTAAAGTTGGAGCAATATTTTCATATAGGGTGCACACTTCCTATATCAATGGGACATTGAGCTCAGGTGTATCTGTTTCTTTATTGCTCAAGTGAGGGACCTCCTATTCTGATTTTCAGTTGATTTTAAGTCTGTGATAAATGGGAAGTTCAATTCAGAGGAGCGGTGGAAGCATGGCAATTGATGACCACACCTTCCTGATCCCAGGAGGGGATTTCTCATGGCCTCTCCCCTTCCTGTACCTCAACCCAACTCTATTCCCATCCAGGCTCTGGAACTGGTTCTCAGGACTAAACTGAGCACAGATCCCTCTGTGTCTCCCTGGTCTCTCTCCTATGGTTTCATCCATGCTTCTTGAGAGCTTGCTTTACTGTCATTTCTGTTGGTCAGGTGATGGACCAGGCCCGACAGTCTCCCTGGTGAGGAGCAGGCTGAGGAGGAGGAGGAGGACTAGGGGAGGGTGGCAGGAAGCAGAGAGAGTTTGGGGATGACAAGGAAGATGCCCCTGAGTCAGCAGTGAGCAGCTTCAGTATTGGGGCTCTGTGTCCTCTCTCAGGTTCTCAGGGAAGGTAAAGGACCTACAGCAATGTGTGAGCAAGCACATCCACATAGAAAATGTTTCACAAACCTTAGGATCAAAGGGCTTTGCATGAAGCAGGGCTGGATGACGTGCAGATGCGCCTGATGGTGGATGGCAGATGTGCACTTAATAGGGGTGAATAATCATCAGGTATTTCTGGGCCAAACACTGAGTTACACTGTGTAATCACCTGGATTTAAATAAGAATTCACTGAAACACACAAAATTCCTCTTGTCATGAACTAGATGCTAAAAAACAAAAAGCCTTCCTCTATGAACACACAGCAGTGTAAGCTTAGAGACCGAGAGCTCCTTCAGGCTCCAGTGTCCTGGAGAGAGGACAATGTAGTGGAAAGAAAACCCTTCAGGTATTCTCAAATGCTCTCATCCTGATCTCTTGTGCTCCGTGTGTCCTGCATGTCCCCTGCTGGTCCTGTGAATGCCTGCAGACGTGTGTGTGTGTGGGCTCATCATACTTAAGGCATGGAGTGTGCACCTTCTTCTGCACCGTTATTGGATTCACAGGAGCCTCATGGGTGACTGAGATGGGTAGCTCCAAAATATTTGTGATGACTCTTGAGGAAACCCCAAGAAACGAGACTTGAGGTCACGTCTTCCATGTGTGACGCTCTAAAGCTCTCAAGTCCCCGCTCTGGTCTTGTGGTGGGAGTGGCGTATAGTGGTCTAAATCCACTTTGGATCATTTCTCTATTTTCTGTTGAGAAGTCTCTGGTTTCTCTCTGTCTACGTGGCTCTCCTTATCACAAACACCTTTTATGTGATCTCAGTGATCCCTCTATTAAATCTGTGTCATTTATACCATGGCTACTGTAAGAAATCACCAAGTTACTAAGTTTCCTTTCCTTTGAGTTCATTTTCCCCCTTGCTGTTCTGGTTTCCATCTCTGTGTCATTAGAGATGAGCTCTCCTGTGCCATTTGTGCAGAACAGTTCTTCCCTGCTTGTATTGTTCTTTTTTTTAAAATTTTATTTAAGGAGAAAGAAGAAAAAAAAACAGAAAAAGGGTACAAGTTATACAGAATTTCAGGAAAAGTAAACAGTAGAAAATCACTAGTTAATTACATATTGTTATCTTAGAAATAGTTGTTTAAGTTACAACATTAAAGCATATAGAGGGGACTTTCAAACAGTGAGACTGCAAAGAGTTTTGTTCAGTGATCCAAGAAAACTCAGTAATATGGTTATCTATCTTATACACTTAAATATATATGCAGTTATATCTTTTAGAGCACTTTCTTTTCCTTTCTTTGTACAATGACAATTATACATTTTGGGTTTTATTACTCCCACAGTTCTTATTACATTTTTTTTTGAAGAAAGTAAGACCAAATGTGACATAACAGGACAGAGTCAGTCAAATCAAAAGGATGGACATAATACATAACGTAAAAACAAAATACAAGGTGATCAACAATGGTTACCATAATGCCTCTTGTTATCTTAAAAAGATTTGCCTATATCATCAGTTATAATAAATTGAACAAAACAGTAAAGAATAAGGCCAATAAAACCAAAACATTGGAGACATTAGAGGAATTCAAAAGAAGATAATAGTCAACCAGAATGGGCGTCGTAATGAATCTTATTGTCTTCATAGTTGTTGCCTATACTTTCGAACTTGGTACTATCAAGCATAACAGAATAGAGGAAAATCAGTCAAAACAAGGTGGTGAGAGCAAAACAGGGTTTCAAACCAAGTTAATAGGAAATCAAAGTGGGTTACTATATCCTGCTATTTTTTATTTATTGTTCCCTTAGTTAAAAGGATAAAAATGAAAAATTAGATAATAAAAAGGAGATTGAGATAAAAAAGAGGGCATAATAACAAAACATCGCATGTCAAAACATAGCAATTTAAGCAAAATAGTGTTTCACCACAAGATAATCTCAACATAATAGTAGTTACCATAGTGCTTCTTCCCTTAAAATCTTTGGGTATAACTTCATATACTGTAACATCAAACATATCAAGACAATGTTAAACTGTTCAAGAGAATGACAGTATTACTGGGTATTTAGAATCAACTAACAGAAAATGAACATGGTTTCTGTATAATCTCCTGTTTATAAAAGTTTTGGTTTATATTATCACATATAACAAAATCCAGTAAGATACAGCAGGTTAAAACTGATGGAGACAGAAGAACAAAAGCTTGATGGAACTTCAAAACAAGAGGATATTAAATCAGCACTACCTATTTTTTGTCTTTTTCCTTTTTTATCGGTACTGGGGATCGAACTCACAACTGCCTGCTTGCAAGGCAGGTGCTTATGACGCTGAGCTAAACCCCCAGGCCCCCAGCAGTACCTATTATGATGTCTTGTTTTATCTAAAATGGCTGTTCCTACCATCCAACCTTCTCTGCCTCATTTCTGTTGAGCTCTTTTTCTGTCATTAGTTGTCAGTTTGTCTTCTTCATTTTGCTTTCTGCTCCATTCATTGTGGCTGCTATGCCACTGTTTCTGGAATCTTGGTATTTTTCATTTTTAGGATATCCTGAAGTAATCTCTGTATTGTTGAAGTGGTGGTTGCAAATTCCCCTAGTTCCTCTTTATCCTGGAAGCACCTTGTTTTTCCATCAATTTATTGGGACAGTTGTGCAGGATATATCAATCTTGGCTGGAGGATATTATCTTTCAAAACTTGAATTATTTCCCCCCATGCTCTTCGTGATTTGATGGTTTGTGCCGAGAAGTCTGCTGTAATTCTGATGGTTGTTCCCTTGTTAAGTGATCTGTTTCTTGTCTCTGATGGCTTTTAATATTGTGTTCTTATATTGGATTTCTGGAATTTTGATTATTATATGCCTGGGTGTAGCTCTGTTTGGGTTGTAGGTGGCTGGGGTCCTGTATGCCTCATACATCTGAGTATCTTTACCTTTTGCTAAATTAGGGAAATTCTCCTGGATTATTTCTGTGAATGGCTTTTGTAGTTCATTTGGTTGAGTCCCTACTTCCTCTTTTATGTTCTTAATTCTTAAGTTATAGATCCTCTTATCATCTTCTAGCCTTTGTATTATTGCTGTTTGTTTTCTTGTTATTTTTAAGAAGTTTTTCATTTCATGCTCCCACCTTACAAATCTGTCCTCCAGTTCTGATAATCTGTCCTTAGTTTCTTTCAAGCTGTTATGCCAGCTTTCAATAGAGTTTTTAGTTTCCTGGTAATCTCTTTGAACCTGCTTCACATATTCTATGTTTTCTCTATTTTCTCCATCAAACAATTCTCCCCTTTTTTTCTGTTCTTCCATTCCACCATCTGTTTTTTCTTGGGTGGTGCTTAGCATTTCTCTAACTATTCTACTTATTTCTTGTTTTATTACATTAAATACTTCTTTTGAACTCGTCTATGAGTCTCCGGAGATATTGCTTTATGTCTATTGGTGTCGTGTCTGATATTGCATGTTTTCTGTCTTCATTCTCTTTTGCATTTACCCTTCCTGTATCAGTGTTCTCACGATTCGGGACTGAGGACCCTTTCTTATTGCTCCTTTTTCCTGTGTTTTTGTTCCTTCCATACAAGTGTATGTAGAAGGCCCAGTGTTTTTTTTTTTTCTCTTTGTCTGTTACAGTTGGTTTGAATCCACCAGCTAGGTGTACCCCGCCCACTGCAGTGTACTAGGGAGACACAGACCTGGGCAGCCTCTGCTGGGCCCGCCCCCCTCCAGATCAACCTAGTGAAGCCTTCACTGCTAGGGTGCACCACCAGGTGCAGGGACCTGGTTTGGGCTAGCCTACTGGATCTTAGTCCGTGGCGTCACCAGGCCAAGCGCTCCCCAACAATCCCACTTGAGAAGGGAATATGCGACTAAAGTCACTGCTGGGCCCTGTTCCGGCTAGTCTGCCCGTTCCCAGAATGTCCTCTGTTGGAGCCTCCTAATCTATTTAAGGGTCCCCATTTGTCTTACTTACCGCAGGTCAATGCAGGGCTCTCTGCCAGTCCAGCTCTCAACGCCGTTTGGTTTGCTGATTCCCACTCTCAGAGCTTTCGCGCGTCTCTCTCCCTGCCGTGCTGATTGGGATGCAGTAGCAGCAGCAGGAAATTCAAATTGTGGCTTCCAATGGTGTGGGATCCAGCTTCCATGCTGAGATTTTTATCTGTTCCTGTTATAGCATCAGGACTGCATTTCCAGTTGGTTTCTCTCAGCTTAGTTCATTCCTGGGTCAGCAGGTTACAGCTCCCCTCACTTAGGACTCCTCACATGGCACCGTCCTGGATTCTAAGGTGGTAATCTCAGAGAGCCTCTGTGGCTGCTGTTATTTGTCCACCATGTTCTCCCGGAAGTCCCTTGTATTATTCTTATACATCTGT